AGCTGGAGGATTGGAAGGGAGCGGGAGTGGAGCCAGTGCCGGAAACAGTTGCTGACTCTCTCAACTGTGGCCAGGATCAGGATCGGTACCTTGGCCAGAGTTCGACAGGAAAATCCCCTCAATGGTAAAAGGTGACCCGGCGACATGGCGGCAAGGCTCCTGAGGCCCAGCTGCTGCTGTTGTTGCTCCTGCTGGCTGGCAGGACCGCTGCCTTCTGTCCGGGCATTAATTAACATTTCAATGGGCGACCGCAGTGGAAGAATAATTTCATTGCATTTAACTGAACGACCTTAAAGTGCTCGGGAAAATGGCAGACGCAGCAGGGGAAAAGCAGGGAGAGCAGTGAAAGGGCAGCTGCCGTTTTTCCGCGCATAATTCAACTTTTTCTGGGCTCTGGCTTTTCCTGAGGTCCTTTTTTCGGGGTCTGGGGCTGATGAAAAGGGATGAAAGGCAGACCAGACCCTGTGGCATACAATTTGGCGCATGCAGGCCAGAAATGTGCAAGTTCAACGGAAATTAAACCAGGGAGCCAGGAGCAGGTCCGGTCTCCGCTGACCTGCTATGCTTTTCCATGAGTAATTCACCTAAAAGCCGCAGAGTTTTCAGGTTTTTTAACAGGTTTTAAACAGACAGCCGCCGAGAGACAAACACAGCTGGGCGAATTAATCACAAATTGGAGCGGCTAATTGACACCTGGCCACAGCCAAAAACCTGGCCCAAAGCAATCGGTCAGTCGTCAGCAAAGTGGCCGCAAGACCACAGCCTAAACAAACAGAAAACTCTGTCCAACAAACATCCAAGAGATACGATGTGATATATATATATATATATATATATATAGAGGATATGTAAAGAAAAAAAATACATGTTGTATGCGGGCTCAAAGGGTGCAAATGGAAAATAAACATGGTTTACGCAGAATCAACAAGAGCCAAAGGCAGGCTTAATCGGCTGGGAGTTCTTTTTTTTTGTTTTAGTTCTCTGTTGTTGCTTTTTTCCATTGCCTGATTGATAGCCGCATTGATAGATGGTCGCCGTGGCAGTCATTTCATTTTGTTTCTGCCTGGGAATTATAGCCCACTTCTGGTGGGGGGTGTGGCCGAGTAATTAATATTTACCTCTCTCATTGCTCGGCTTTCGCCTTAGCTGAGCTTTTCTTCTTTTCTTCAACTTACAAATTACGCACTAATTAAGCAGCTTTCGCCCGCTGCCATTTTTCAAAGTCATCCGCGCACTCAACGAGGCCTGGCAAGCATTCAGCCAAGCCATCCTGGATGCGGATACAAATCAGTCGTACTCTCACCTCACAGGAGCAAGGGACTGGACAGCGCATTAGGCGGCAAAAGTTAATGTGCATAATTAATTCGCTTTTGCACTTTGTTGAGCCCTCATTTTGTTTAGCGGTCGTTCGGTCGGTCGGTCTGTTGTTGCCTTTTGTTTGTTGAACCCACTTATTTCGTTACCCTGTAATTCGCATAAATCAAGCCGAAACGTGGACAAATTTTCAAGGACACGCCTCTACCTTCTTCTCCTACCTTCAAGCAAATATTCATCATACGCCGTGTGTACGCCGCTTTTTAATTGCCCCGCCTATGAAGGGGGAAACGCCTTCCGCTTCGGTAACACCTGCCATTCCCTTGGGGTGCCTCTGAGCTGCAAATTCAATTGGCATAACATCATGCACAATAAACAACTTCATTTGCAATATTTACTACCAGATAATTGAATAGCTTTCAGCAAAGAAGCCAAGGCAAAGGCAGCTAGCAGAGGGAGTGAAAAGGGGGTTTATTTTTGGGGCGAGTTTCAAGGGGGTTGCAGCATCCTGGATAGAGATGGTAGAATATATCGATATAGAGTTGATGTGAGATATATAAAATATATTTGTTATAAAACACCAAACAGGAAAAAATTCGATATGTATCGAAATAGATCGAAGTGGATTGATATATATCCATAAATATAATATACATTCATTCTTATACAAAAAAATAATTTTTATAAAAATATCCTATACCTTTTGAAGTTATAATTCTTTTAACTAAGTCAATACTTATCGAAAAGCTGACTATAAATCGATAATAAGCGACGCATACTTATCGGTACTAAAATAGGTATCGAAACTTTGAGAATTATTCAACGATATCTTTAGAAAAACAATATTATCGATACGATATTAAAAACGTTATAAATATATATATTTATAATTTTTTTTTATTATTGTTCGATTTAAAAATCATAATCCTCACAATTAGGACCCCTTTTAATTTTTCAAAAATATCTTATCAAACTTTTCATCTCGATATTCGTCTCTTTCTCAGGCCAAAAATAACGTCAAGTGGGTTGGCTTTTCTGTGGGCTCACATGGGCGACATGACTCGTCGTCTAACATGCAAATGCCAAATTCAATAAGCCCAATGGCAGGCAACAAATAGACCAAATTATTACATAGCCGCACGCACCGACACACGTGGCAATAGGGCCGTCTAAGGGGGTGGCACAAGCAGACCTCCCGCTGAGCAAAAACCGCTGAGCTACTTAGCCGAAAAAGAAAAAAAAACGGGAAGAAGAACCCTCTGGCAAGGGGAAAACAAGGAGTATTTCGACTGAAATTGAACGACAAAAGTGCGTGCAATTGGCAGCCATATTGCGATACGTAAGCCCCACCCACCAGCAAAAAACCCCAAAAATCCACCCACCAAGTACCCTATCCTTGCCGTATCCTCCCACCCACTGAGTGGCATATACTTCTACTTATTGCGGCCATAAGTCGCTGGGGTCGTATGCGTGATATGAGTGTAAGTTAAACAGAATGAGGGGAACATTTTCCCCCTACCCCCCTGGGAAACTGGGGAATAATTTTTTCATTTCGAAATTCTAATGCATTATAGGTCTCCCCGTGACTCAAAGTTAAATTTCTGCATTTTCAACTTAAATTTTAACATCCGTTTTGTTTGTCTTTGTTTCGCCAGATTACTTTTACTTTACTTTTGTTTTGTTTTGGTTTTATTCTGTTTGCCGGAGCTATTAATAAATTTCTCAGCTGGGAATTAACATTTACAGTTAGCTGACCGAACAACTTTTGGCCGACAAACTTCAATTGCGTCGCATTTATCAAATGCCAGGCCCCTCGGACGTCGTCGTCGGCCGTTTAAGCATCGCCCGGGGAATTGGCATCCGCTCCTGGGGGCTCTCACTCATTCCCCTTCATTCGAACTTTTTATATGTCTCGGATTTTGTACAGGGAGAAAAAACCCTAAAGAAGGTTGTTATTTATATAGAAAAATTGATATAATATTTAATTTGCTGAAACTTTGTGATTTACATTTATTTTCTTGGGAACTTAGGAACTATAAAAGTTGGCAAACTTGCTAGCAGTTCAAGTTTATTTATTAAATTTATATATGTATTATATTTTAAAAGTATTTATCTTAATTATTAAAGCAAGTAAATATATATCTATGGATAAAAATTAAGTTTCAATGAATAAAAACCTTTGAGAAACATGGGGGTTTATAAAGCAAAGTTAATCTCCCTGTTTTAGCTTCAAGTCTTGCTTAATTTCTATTTGTTATTATGATTTATTACGAATGCTATTATTATTATTATAAATATTATTAATATATTTTTTTGTAATTTTTTTAAAGACAGATTAGTGGCGTGTTGCCCGATCACCATGGCTTTAAGCTCTCTGCATATTTCGACTGTTGCTGCAGCTCATAAATAATTCAAATAATTTACACACTTACTTGAGCCCTGTCTGCTGGTGTGTGTGTGTGTTTGCTGGTGTATATGTGTGGGTGAGCCGCATTATGTGGTTCATTGGTTTGGGCCAAAAACTGCAACCAGCCAGCAGCAGCACCAGAGCAATCAACTACGTTCGCCGCTGCTGCTGTTGCTGCTGCAGTTAACTAAACTGAACTCAACTAAACTTTCACTGCACGCAGCAGCATCCACACACGCATCCACACACACTCTCATGTATATATACCCTATATATCGCATATAGGACTCTTGGTGGTTACTGCGGTTTGCATTTTCATATCGTTCCCTCTAATATTTCACAACACAAATTTTGTTGCTGCGCTCCGCTGGGCTGCTGGCACATAAAAAGGCGAAGCTGCTGCATTTTATGTTGTCACGTTGGCTTCAAGTGCCCCAAAGGGGGAATACACACAACACACACAACGCACACATACACATCATACACCCCTTCACAGTCGAGTTTATGGATTAAGTAAACACAAAGAGAGCAAATGAACTTTCCCTGCTCTGGACAAAAAATATTTCAGTTTTAATTTTTGATTTCACTAGCAAAGCACAGGGTCTGCATTTAGGAAACTTTTATGCTTGATTTGGATGATTGAATTTGTTGTTTATTTTCTTAGAATATATATATTAAGTATTGTATATATTCCTTAGAAAATGTAAATACAATTTATGAATCAGAGACAAAATGTTTCTTTGTTGACTTTGTTATCAACAAGAACAAATTGCTGAGCTACTACGCTACACTTTTCAAAATCAATATGAATATCAATAGCTAAGAATTTAATATAATATTTAAATAATATATATAATAGCAAGAAATCTTGTTTAGAAAAGTCCCATTCTTAATTACAAATAATTTAAGCAGAACCCTTAGATATATTTAATTTATTACGATTTTTAAATTTATTTATTAAGTTTTATATTTCTTAGAAAAATCGCCTAATTGTATATCATATAAACAGATTCCAAAAATATATTAAAAATACTTTTTCTTGAGTACTTCCATGTTTTCTACTGATTACCATTAATTTATTATTATGAAATACAAAATAAAATTAGCTTGAAATACTCTGAATAATTATAAAGAATTTGTATATATTTTTCTTTGCCTTTGGGAATGCCCCCTCAATTAATCTTACAAGTATTTCTCTCACCAAGCGATAAGAAACTCACATGAAACTTTTAAATTCCAAACCCAGTGTGTTCTCTCAGTCAGTTCACAGTCTTTGAGATAAATGGACCCAGCTTATGTGAAGTTTATGATGTGCCAGTGCCTGTTAAATCGAGCTGACTGGGGCTTAGCCGTCGCTTGCCTGAACGTGCTATACTCCATATTTCTGTTCCTCTTCTGGCTGGTGGAGCTCATCAAGTCTCTGGACAGTGAGTGGAGCATGAATGCACTCATTCATTTAATACTAAAAACCACTCATTCTTTCCAGATTATCCCGTCAAGTGGGTGTTGCTGTATGGCTTCAATATCATGTTCAATGTGATCACCATGATGAGGATCGTCAAGCGAGAGAGCATATCGGTCTTCTACTGGGCCTGCGGAACGGGTGCTCTTCTGCTTTTTCGTATATATCATATCTACTATGTGAAAGATGTGTTTCCTCTGGCGGGATGTGAAGCGTACATGATATCTAACCAGATTTTGGATGGTAAGTAGCTTAAAGAAGTATCAAAAAGTTATATATAATATTTAATGTACTTATTCTAGCTTACATTCTTCTGTCTCTGGTGGTCATGGTTTATGTCATGTGGGGTCTGCACCGGGAACCAGATCGCATGTTTCCCAAGGAGGACATGGTCAATGATTATGTATATAATCCTGAACCAACAGACCAAAATGTAGAGCAACTTTATGAGGAGCTTGAAGACAAGCGACTGGAAATGATTAGGGAAATGATCAAGGGAAAGGAAACTAAAGCTGAAATCGATCATATCGATGAGGTGGAAAACTGTACAGAAATGGATGATCTAAACAGCAAGGTCATCCTTAAACTAGCTGGCATTAAGGAGGAAGAAACAAAGGAAACTAAAGCTGAAATCGATCATATCGATGAGACGGAAAACTGTACAGAAATGGATGATCTAAACAGCAAGGTCATCCTTAAACTAGCTGGCATTAAGGAGGAAGAAACAGCATCAAGTCCAAGTCCCAGCCCCATTCCCAGTCTACACTGCGAACCCACCGCTCCCGAGGTGATGGATTCCTGCAGCCTGAAGTTCTGCCCTCAACCCACAGCTCCTTCAGAAAGTCATCTTTCCTTCGATGATGTTTTTTGCTGCATGGATGCTGCCTGTGATTCGATATCCTTTTCGTGCGATGATTAGATAGCTACGAATGTGTATCGAAAGGATAAGTCTGATATGATATATATTTTAAACCTTTGTAAGTATTTTAAAGAAATTATCGCTCAAATTAAAGCAATATAATCCAAAAATTACCAAAAAAAACCATAGAAAATATCGATGTATTGCTTATTTATCGCAAGGTTTAAGTATCTATTTATATATCACCATAAATATCGAAACCCCTTCGATATATTGTCATTTTCTGCCATCTCTAGATACCTTTTAGTTTTAGTTTGTCGTTCGAAATAACATAAACAATCTAAATGAAAGTAAATAACATTTTCACTTGACCCCCACACAAGTCTTGGCCGCAACTTTTTGGTGTTTTGTTGTATTTCTTATATATATTTTTTTTTTGGCAACAAAAACCAAACAAACAAATGGAGAAAAACTTGACTTAACTTTCCCTTGAGAGGGCGGCGGGGATTTAGCTGGCTGTTGGAAAAGGGATTACGATCAAAGCGTTCGATTGAGTGTGTCAATAAATTCCTGCCAGTCGACCGAGTGTAGAACATTTGTCCCGGCAGCGGCGATAAATAGTTGCCACACGCTACGACGATCCCTTTTTGGCCGGAAAGTTTCGTGTGAATTTAGTGCGGCTCATTAAGCCGAAAGAACGGACAACGGACTGAGCCATGGTCATGTGAGCGTGTGTCTGTCTTGGCCAATGGCTTTTTGTTCAAACTTCATTAAGCTGGAAATGATGAAGAGTCAAGGAGAAATTGCTAGCCCATTGTCATTGCATCAGTGCCTCATTTCGGCTCATCTCGGTCTCGGCCACGTTTAATAATGGCCTGCCAGACATTTGTCAACGGGATGCTTAGGACCTAGGCTTTAAATGAGCGCGCTCATTAGGAAAATTAATGTTTGGGATTCATTAAAAGTGTCAAAGTGCGCACATTAAAAATATATAAAACGAAAATGCCACCAACGAGGCAGGAGCAGGAGGCGTGAGCCGTGAGCCGTTAGCCTCTCTTGTTCCTAACGAAGCCAACAAAGTCTCTCGGCTCTTGTCGATTTTATTAACAAAAACAAAACATTAAAGGCGCATAAAATGTTGACATAGCTTCTATGCTTTGTTCTGGTTCCTCCTTCTCGCTGCTGCTCATAAAACTGTCTCGGCTCAAGATCTTACACACATGCTCTGTGTGTATATATTTACTATATATATTGTATCTCGTTTGGGGCATCTCATAAAACTAAACCGCAATTCATCAGTAAATTCCAGAGAATATGCCACAGTTTTATGCTCCTCATAAAATGCGAAAAAATTGTTTTTATTATAATTATTATGTTATGCATGGTGCACGGAGGCCACGACGAGTTTATTGCTTTGTCAAAACCCCCCAAAATGAAGTGATGATGCTGTCGAACTTTAGTTGGTTTTGCTCCCCTCGGAAACTCTTGGTTGGGATCCCTGCTACTGTGGCTGCTCCTGCTCCTGCTTATCTGGGTGCCATTTACAATGGCAAATTATTTGAGATTTTCGCTTAACTTTTAGCCATTTGAAACAATGACACACGCATAGAGCAGAGTCAACAACCTTCCCAGCTGCAGTTCCCAGAGTGTCCTTGCCGTTAACTGCAGTTGTGTTGCAGGGAGAGAAAAATTTTAAGGAAATTTCTATAAATTTATATATTTAAATTAGATTGCAGTGGATTCTAGGTAAATAATATTGAAATTTTAGAGATATAATCATTTTTCTGGTGTGTCTAAGACCTTCTTAAGCATATATTGAAGATTTTCTACAGAATTGAGTGTAAATATGGAATATCATTGTTTAAAAAGTAATTATATTAATAAAATAAATTCTTTTAAAATATTTCAAAATGTAAAACTCCATAAATACTTAAAATTTCCTAGTTTTACCTCCATTAACAATGCTACTTTACTCTCAGTGCTCCAGTTGCAGCTTCCTAGGGGCCGCATGTCACGCACTGGCAAATGCTTAACGCTCCCCGGCACACCATCCTGCACACACACACATACACACAATACACACCCCGACGGCACAATGGGTGTTCTACGTGCGACAAAGGATGCAGTGGGGGCGATGGCAGCGTCTCCAGTTAAAGTTTCTGGCTCATTAGGATGATGCTTAAAAATATTAAATGTGTGTGCGACTTGAGGGGGTCATAAGCGCACAGAGATAGTTAGTTAAGCGAACATTAAGATAGTTCCAGAATAGTTCCCGGAACATTTCCAACCACAATTCCAGGGTAATAAGCTGCACTCTTTTGCGGTTTTTAGTGCCCAGCAGAAGGACTTCAATCACGGCCCACGCGTCGTATGCGCAATGGCCAAGCAATTGCAACAATCAATGTTTTATTGTTTGCACGAAAACCTCAAGCCGCAAAGCCGCAGGGCTTGCGATGGATAGACAATCGACACAGGGGACTGGGAGAGAAAGGAAATCCTGAGGAAAAAAACCTGAGAAAAGCCGGGGAAAAACCCAAGAGCAGCAACAGCAGCAGGCAAATAAATGAAGGCCGTAATTATAGCCAAAGGAAAATACAGACTACAGACGCCGGAACGGGGCCAAAATGTCACGTACTGGCAATAAACCGCTGCTAATTTACGATGCCCCAAGTCCAAGCCGGAGACGGAGACGGAGTCCTGTAACAAAAGGCGGCGGAAGTCAAAAGGCAAACGCCTAAGCAGTTTGACCAACTCGAGAGAACTCCGGAATGTTTCGCATTACGGCCGCTGCATAGAAATGGCCATCAAATTGACGGCCATCACAGGATGGCCAGGACCCGTTGAATCTATCGAAGATGCCAATAGCCAGGACAAAGGCCTAATGCGCATTAGCTGCCCCTGGGAACGTGCATTAGATATATTAAATCGGGGTCTCCGTCTCCGGTTTTCTGCATTGTCCGCCGTTCGCGTTTTGTTTGCATTTTCCATTAGCTCGCTGAGGCGGAACAGCAGAAGCAGCAGCTGTAGCGGATTTTCCACAAAAATAATTGCGTTGAAAATTCAAAAATCGAAACTCAACAGGCAGCAAAGAGAGAGCATACATTTTCGAACTCGAATTTGCATTCTCTTAAATGGAGACTTTCCAAAAAATTGAATATTCGTATAAGAGAAAATTTGAAAAGGCGCCTGCGTGGGCTTTGAGGGAAAAGTCTCCGGAAAAATCAGCTGGTTTTCGCTGATTCCGTCTACTCGAAACGGCCACATTGAAGCAGTTTGTCAATAGTTACGCTCAAGACGCGACGCGTCCGCCCGTTTCACAAACAAATTCTGGAAATTCTTAATACAAATTATCAAAAAAAAAACCAAAGAAATATCTAAGAAAAAGCCCAACGCCTAAGACTGAAAGCATTAATCAAAACAAACACAACTCCAGAGTGCAAGTTCAAGTCCTTAAATTGATATAAAGCCGGTTTATCTTTTTGATTTTGTATGTGTTTCGTTTAATTAAATAACAAAAGCCAGTGAGAGAGAGCCCGCATAATTAGGATGCAAACATGAAAAAAGCCCCCAGACTGAGCACGAAATCAAAAAAGATAAATACAAATCGGGCATAGACGGAACCTCATCATCATCATCGTCATAAGGCAGCAGCCGCAGGACCCTACCCGTTCATATCCTTCGCGGTCGTCACAACTCGGCATAAATATTTATGTTGACGAATTTACCTGCGGCTGGGCGTCGTCGCTAATGAAGCGGCCAAAATGAAAATGAAAGGACATAATTATGCTTATGTGTGAGTATAATGAATACGTATTTTATTCCACAAGGTCAGCCTCAGAGTGGGGTTGCCTGGGCGGTTGCTGTTGGTCGTTCATTCGGAGGCTGCGGCAACTGCACTTTGTTCTTACAGCCGCTAGAGAAATATGTATTTGATGTTTATTTTTCGTTACGGGCAGGTAACTGGCTGAAAGTCTTGGTCCTGGACTTGTGACTGGGGGTTTATAGTTTGCACTTGAAGAAATTAAGAAAATGTAATAAAATAATAATACTTTAAGTATGGTTTAAGCCAAAAATATTACTTTGGAAGTTACAACTGTAGGGAAATTGTTGTATTAATTAATTTTAAAGCTTACTGAGTGAAAGGAACTTAAAATGAAGGAAGATTTAAGCACCTACGATAAAAAAGGGCTTAATTATATTATTATCAAGGTGATAAAAATGATTTATTGTAATTAAATGAAGGTTTTAACTTGGCATTGATGGGTTTAACTTAAGTTCTCAAGGACTAAAAATTCTATTTCCCTTTTCCTTTTAAAGAAACCCATTTCTAAAATACAAATTTATAAGAAAATAATGTTATATTAACACTAAAAAATGCTTTGACGTTAAATTAACACTTATACTTTAGCTTAAAACCGGTCTAAAATCACTCCAAAAATATTTTTTCACAACCTTTAGTATCTACTCCGGCAAACCTAAAAGAAAACCCATTAAACTGAATACTTTTCCCATCATTTAGTAAACCATTTTCCCAGTGTGATCATATTCTGACGCATTGTGACCACCCAGAAACTAATGGAAAATTGCATTGCGACTACCGAACCATCGGGAATTGTTCTTTGGGGGAAGTTTTATGGGTCCGCAAGTTGATTAGTTCAATGGCTGTGAGTGTCGCCGGGTGCAATTAGGCTGCTGCTGCTGCATTAGGGTTTAGGGAAAAGTTACCAGTTACCAGTTACCAATTTTCAGTTTCCGCTGGCAAGTTTCCCGACTTGAGTGCAAATTGCTGTCGTCCAATCATCTTCATAAAGTTTTCAAACAGACTAACACACACACACTCGGTGTCCGTTGGAGTGCATTGTTTCCAGAGACGCCAATCCATTGTTTCCCTTAGTGGGAATATAGCTAGCAAACTGAGTTATGAGCCCCGATTCATTTTATTTATATTCCCAACATTATTTGTCGTCCTTCTCTCGGCTAATTGGTATATTGTGCGAGTCACTCTCTGCAGCCAGGACCAGGACCTCGGGGTGATCAAAACCAAAAAGGCTGCTAAAAGATTACGCTGACACAACAAAGAAAGGGCTTTCTCTTGCTCCTCTGCCAGCAGCAGACATTCAACAGAATAAAACTTTTTGTATATTTATTAGAGTATGAATTAATTCAAGTATGAGGGAGCACAATGTGTGTGTGTGTGTGTGTGGGTGTGTGTGTTGGAGAAAGAGTTGAGCCTTCCAGGCAGATTCTGAATCAGATTCGTAGGGAAAAAGCAAAAGGGGGTTGGAGGAGCGAAACAACCGCAGCCCCAGCGCGATTTTCCTTTTTTCTACTCCTCCTGTTCATTTTTTTTTTTTTTCGACTATCCCCTAAGGCGAATTTTGTTGCAAACGTTAGCACATTTTTTTCTTTCGGCGTATATGGAATGTAATTCATGTACATGGCCTTGCTATATACAAAACGAAAAAAACGAGAGAAAACTGGGTGTTTGAAAGCAACAACTCGGTTTCATAATTAAACAAGAAAGGAAGCTAACTTCGGCACGCCGAAGTTTGTATACCCTTGCAGATTGGTTTTGATGTTTATATTATAGATTTAAATGCTGAAAACACACACAAAACAGAGTTTCATTACATTTTACTGTAACTGTCAAACTGTAAACATAATAAGTATAGATTATGTTTACAGTTTGACAGTTACAGTTTTACATTCCCAGCTTTACATTTTCTCTACATTTACCGATCGTTTATATGGCAGCTATATGATATAGTTGTCCGATTTTCATAAAATTTTTACCAAAATTCTTAAATAATAAAAAAAGCTTATATCTAAAAGTAGATAAGAATATGTTGAAAAACAACGAAGTTATAATTTTTTTCCTATTCATTTGCCAATCGTTCCTATGGCAGCTATAAGATATAGTCGTCCGATTTTCATAAAATTTTTACCAAAATTCTGAAATAATATAAAATGGCTATATCTCAAAAATGATGCAAAAATATTGAAAAACAGCAAAGTTATAATTTTTTTTCTAAAAATTTATCGAACATTTGTATGGGAGCTATATGATATAGTCGTCCGATCCGGCCCGTTCCGACATATATAGCAGTGAGAGTATATAGAAGACTATATGCAAAGTTTCATTCAGATAGCTTTAAAACTGAGGGACTAGTTTGCGTAGAAACGGACAGACGGACGGACGGACGGACAGACGGACGGACAGACGGACAGACGGACATGGCTAGATCGACTCGGCTGTTGATGCTGATCAAGAATATATATACTTTATAGGGTCGGAAACGTCTCCTTCACTGCGTTGCAAACTTCTGACTGAAATTATAATACCCTGCAAGGGTATAAAAACCAGAGGGTTATGACCCAGGGTAGCGACCTTAAGATACGCTGGAATGGTAGGTATATTTAAGAGAGTTATATATTTTATTTTAATTATAAAATGTAGATTATTTAAGCAGTTTAAATTCTACATAATTTCCACAAAACCTAGGGCATTTTCTCTTTAAGTTGAATAGCCTCAAAAACACAATATTTCCTTGAAAAATTCTACATATGTTTTCCCCAGAATTGATTGCTCTTTCATGAGCACAATCAGACACACATTTGATTTGTAAGTTCAATGATCCATCATATAGACATTGTTGGGTATTTATATATTTAGCAAATTGTACTTGACATTTCGAGCATACTTTTGGGCAGCAGAAAATGCAACAAAGCCAAGGGAAAATATTCTGGAAAAAATATATATCTACATACTGGTTATGAAAGCACCCTTGAACTCCAAACCACAGAGAGAGCCACAGCACAGAAACATTTTTTAGTGCATTTATTAATAGCGGCAGAGAACGTCTGAAAAGGCGAATGACGACGATTACCTTGACTATGAAAATATTCCTTACACATGAGCTGCTCTTGGACTGTCCTCCCTGGCACCCACCATCCGTTTCCGGTGCCTTCCATTAACATTTCAGCTCACAAAACCGAAAAAAAAACATACTTATAGTATAGTTTTTTCAGCGAGGGTTGCGCGATGCCTTTTCCTGCCACAGCGGAGATGGAGATTTCCGGCAACTGCAATCCATCAAGCCGCCTTCGCAGGTGTTTACCTCAGACTGGTTAACTGCCTGTCTCACCTGGGGACACCTTGACACAGACAAAGGTCAGCCAGCCAGCCAGCCAGCCAGTCAGCCAGTGTGTTGGGCTTACAAAAGGCCAAGTGGCAAGCCAGGTTACTATCCCCTCTTCCCCGTTCCCTTGAGTGAATTAAGCCAGAATGCAGATGCTATTCGCTACTTTATTGTTTCTTCTCTAGAACAACTTTCAGTGGCGATTCCGGATCCTTGGTATGTCACCGAAATAGTAGTGGTCATTCCTGGCCAAATCCTCGGTTCGTAGTCTAGGAAGAGGCCGTTGCAACAGCATCAGCAGCAGCGAAAGTAGCAGCAGCAGCAGCATTTGCTGCGATTTGAAGCCAAGTGTTAGCAGCGACATTTTGATTGAGACTGAGTCAGACAATCTGATCAGAGGGCAAATTGCAAGCCAATGGGAAAAATACAAAGGGAAGTGATAAGAAACAAGCCAGGTTACCAGCCCCGCTTTCCTTCTCCCTTGAGTGAATTAAGCCAGAATGCAGATGCTATTCGTTGCTTTATTGTTTCTTTTATAGAACAACTTTCAGTGGCGTTTCAGGAACCTTGGTCTTTCGCCGGGAAAGCCCTCGTAGCGGTCATTCCTAACCAAATCCAAGGCTTGTCCAGGAAGAGGCAGTTGCAGCAGCATTAGCAGCAGCGAAAGTAGCAGCAGCAGCAGCAATTGCTGCGATTTGAAGCCAAGTGTTAGCAGCGACATTTCGATAGAGACTGAGCCAGACAAACTGATCAGAGGGCAAATTGCAAGCCAATGGGAAAAATACAGAGGGAATTGATAAGGAGCACTGACAGAAATGGGGGAGACTATAGAATATTTATAGATTTATAGATAGACTAGTTTATGTAAGAGATTAAAAAGGTACTAACAAATTAATAATTAAACGTTTATGATGTTTACAATATTTTTAAGCACTAATTCATTTGTAAAGCTTAAAATATGGAAGCAGAAAATTTATTGCCATGCAAATTAATCCTGCAATATATTTTACAATAAATATTCAATTAACTTGCACAATATATTTATAAATTTAAATATTAAAAGTGCATTTTAATAGCCCAAGATAATATCTATTCCATTACACATTAATGCTTGCAATTGATATGATTTAGTTATCACAAATACGATTATTTGCTGGAAAATTGCTATAAAAAAGACTCCCCACACACACAGAGAGAGATACTACCAGCAGTGGCTACAAATTAAGTTATGATTTTCTCTCTGTGGGGGATTTTCCACATCGCAAATCGAGATAAGCTTGGCAGCTAAGGGGTCAGTGGAGCCAGTGAGGAGGTTGGGCAGTGGGCTGGAAGCTGGTAAAAAACTTGTGAAAGAGTTCGCTCGATTGAAATGATTAATTAATTGCCGAGAATCGAGGTAAACTGAGCGAGACGAGACGCGAGCATCATTTATCACGATGTGAACTTAATTTCAAGCACTTCGGCTCCATCGGGGAAATACGTTCACAAAAAAAAAAGAAATACATAAAAAGGGAAACTGTGTTATTTTAGGGGCGCAACATTATGATTTCCTCTCTATACACTTGCTGGTCGCCAGGCTTTTATTTCTTGTTTTCCGTAGACTTATTGTTGTACCCTGTAATTGGTGGGTGAAAGGGTATATTGAGTGTAGAAAATAATAACAAAATAAATAGTAAAAGACTAAACAGCAATTTTTGGAACTTAAATAATAATTTTAAATTATTTTGAATATATTCTACATATTCGTTCGACTTTAGCTCAATCCCAGGACATTCTCCTAGTCGCTACACACTCGCCTCTATATATCTCACTTGCTCTCTGTTTGCCATTCATCTCTGACTCCCCATTGACTCTCGTACCTGTATTTTGCAGTTTACGTGTTAAGTGCTTGGCAAGCACGATTAAGGCGCTTTATCACCCGCAACAACGGCAGCAACACGAACGACAGGCGCGGCGCCAGCATCAGCATCACCAGCAGCAGAAGCAGCAGCAGGAGCGGCAACACCACCAAAAGAATCAACAACAGCAACAGCTGCGACAGGAGCAACATCAACATCAGGAGCAGGAACATCAGCATCAGCAGGAACAACAGCAATCGCTTTAGACACACCCCAAACCATAATATATTTAGAGACAAAAACAGGACATGCTGAAAGCGGTGACAACAGCCATGGCTGAGCCCATGCCGGGTAGCATTTTGGAAATAGAACTGCCGGAACTGCCAGCCATTCTGCTCAACGAGAGCCTCTTCATCGAGCTGAATGGCAATCTCAGTCAGCTGGAGGAGGAGGACACGACCATCGGCAATCTCAGCATTTGGAATCGCACCGAAATCGGCAATGGCAGCACTAGATTATCCCTGGACCTGGACGAGGAGCAGCGAGCCGAAATGGAGTTCTGGCTGCTGGTCAAAATGATCGCCATGGCCGTTGTCCTGGGCCTTATGATACTCGTAACCATCATAGGCAAGTACTTAATCAAAATCCAAATTCAAATTTAAATTACCACAAAGATTAGGTGGGGGGGGGATAGGCATTAAATTATTCTCAAATTTATGCCTCAGGGATAAGGCAACGAAAAGTTTCCATACTCAACTGTAAATGAAGTGAAATTTATGATGCAGAAGATTTTTATTGCGCCCTCTTGGTAGGTTTTTTATTGATTTTTGGGCTTACAAAGATGATTTGCTGGCGGTGCTTAGGGGTGGCTGATTGTTTTGCTTGGCTGGATGATGTACGAGGAGGAGTCCTTTGTGTTAAACGCCGCCAAAAGCAGCAAGGAGACGAGAAAAGCGAGCAAAAGTTTCCAAAAAATGTTTGCCGCGGCGCGTGAAAAGCTATTAAAACCGCGCCAAAGCGTCAAATGTAAATTACGAAAAAAAACACACTAAGAAGGAGGTGTGAGAATGCACAGGAAGAAAATGTTGGAAGTTTAATTAAGCAGGCTTTACTAATAAAAATAAATAAATAAATAAAACATGCAATCTTTAAGAGATATCCATACATTTTACCCTCATTCCAAGACCCCTTTAAAAGCTAGTTAACATCACATTTTGCAATGGTTTTTCTTTAAGAAATTAAATCAATTTATGGATTCTAAATTTATAAAATATATTTTTATATAAAATACCTCAAAAAAATATAATTTTAAAGCATTTAAATACATGAAAATGCTTTTATAAACCACACACTCTCCTACATTTTATCATCATTCTAAGACCCCTTTGAAAGCTATTAAATATCACAAGAATACTCTCTATAATCACACCTTATTTGGTATTATTTTCCCCCGTGCTAACACACCCATACACACCCATAGAAGAGCACAGGAAAACAGTTTCGCGAACACACGTCGTATGCGCAACATTTCCCAGGCGAAAGACATATGCAAATGCATTTTCTGGCACGGGCCAAGCGACGACAAAACGTTTTGACAACCTGCAGACAAGCTCGACTGTCTCAGCCACATACTACCTGGGCGTCGTCCTGGCTGCCAGAGAAAATGATGCCTGCATTTGGGGTGGGGTGCAGGGGAAATGGTCGGGGAAATGAGTGAGATGGGGCCGATGCAGGTGAGGAGATGAGGTGGCACTGCGGCAATTACAATTTGCCAAGTTGCATGCGCTTAATCAAAGCAAGCGACGACAATGATGATGGCGATGATGATGGAGCTAGCAGCCAGTTCTCATTTGCATCCCACAGGGAAAGAGAGTAGAGCCAAAGAGATCGGAAAAAGAAGAAGTTGAGGGGGGGAAAATGGAAAAGAGATTGAAGCACGTTGCATGCTGCCGCTGCTGCTGCACGATTGCCTGCAATTAGGCAGGAAAATGGAAACTCCTTTGACACGAAGCCTTTGCCACTGATTGATTTTGCACAACTCCATCGAGTTGAAGTCAAGTCTTTGCCCCCAATACCCATGGTTAATGACTTTGGGCCACTCAAAGTCAACCCAAAGTTGCCCCTCTCTTTACTTATTCAACGGAAGACTTAGCCGCCTCACTTAATACACCAATTTATCAATTTAACTGAATGCAATTTCTGAATGCTTCGTTTTGTCCTCAGGCAATGTCTTTGTAATTGCCGCCATTATACTGGAAAGGAACTTGCAGAATGTGGCCAATTATTTGGTGGCATCTCTGGCAGTGGCTGATTTATTTGTAGCCTGTCTGGTGATGCCGCTGGGAGCGGTCTATGAGGTGAGTTTACTAGAATAAGTACTAGAAATATTTTTAAAATATTATAAAAACTAAAATGGAAATAAGTTCCCTAAGTTATTCTTAGTTTTATTTGTATTTATATCTAATTTTAACTTGATTTTTTGTTAGAGTATCCAACTTTTGCCATTGCCTTTAGCTAACTAACTCGATTACCCTAATGGAAACTTGAGCAGGAATGCCTGGAAATGAAATTAGGCGCCAAAGAGTTGACACTGCGCCAGAGCCTAGAGCCAGAGCCCAGAGCCCAAGCCCCAGACAGCCTCGTTTGCTGTCCTGACTAATTGTTTCAATTGCATCATCGCTGGCAAACAATGTGTTGCTAAATGTCACTCCTTTCTCCGCCGCTTTCTCCTCTGACTGTACTCTCTCTACTACCGCCTTCTCTTCTCTCTTCACCCTCAGATAAGTAATGGATGGATATTGGGACCGGAACTGTGCGACATCTGGACATCTTGCGATGTCCTTTGCTGCACAGCATCCATACTGCATTTGGTGGCCATTGCATCGGACAGGTGAGTGAGCAGGTCTTGTGATACCACCGGACAGTTGACAGATGAAATGGGGTTGTCCTTCCGTTGCAGATATTGGACGGTGACCAACATTGACTATAACAATCTGAGGACACCGCGTCGCGTTTTTCTCATGATATTCTGCGTTTGGTTTGCCGCTTTGATTGTCTCCCTGGCACCGCAATTTGGCTGGAAGGATCCGGATTACATGAAGCGCATCGAGGAGCAGCATTGCATGGTGTCACAGGATGTGGCCTATCAGGTAGGGGAAGGCATTACTGAAGCTACTTTCTTTACTTTACTTACTTTGTTTTTCTTTTTGACTTTTCTCTTTTTTAGATTTTTGCCACCTGTTGCACTTTTTATGTGCCCCTTCTGGTGATTTTGTTTTTGTATTGGAAAATCTACATAATTGCCAGGAAGCGCATCCAACGACGCGCCCAAAAGTCCTTCAATGTGACACTTACCGAGACGGACGTAAGTCTAATCAATAAGGCAACCCCTAATAAAAACCAAGTGTCCTCTTAGCCAGACCCTCCTCTCCCGAAAAGATATAATACAGAAGAGTCACAAAAATTACTCATACGCCCCATCGTACAAATAATGAAATTCCACAAGTATGCTGGCCATTTCTATTCGGGGGGCCGGCCAAGTGGATGTTGAGGCTGCTGGAGAGTAGTGTATTTGCCTGCCTGCCATAATGAGTATGTCATTAACAGAAACAATAATGCCAAGTGGGTCTAGGGGGGGGTGTTGGGGTTGGGCGGGGACTGTGTGGGAACATAGGGGTATGTGCTACTCGGGAACGTCCTCAGCTGCTCATTAGCATGCCCAAGTGAGCACTCGAAGCGAGCCGCTGCGGCGAAAGCCAAACAAATGCCAACCGAGATTTATGATCACCCCCAATGTGTGGCCACAGTGTCAGGGGCAGAATGCTCTATACATGTTACACTTGAAGCATTTTAATATCAAAGGAAATTAGAGTTGAAATTTGATTTTAGAGAAGTTGAAGGTTAAAGGTCTTATGAGTATTTTTAATTATATATTAAGAGGGTTTTTATTATTTTATTTATCTGTTAAAGACTCTGTATCTTTCTTGTATCCAAGTCTCAGTAAGAAATTTCATCTTCAAAAACTCCAAATTTTCCCCCTGTGCACCCAATACAAATAAAAGCCATAACGAATATTTAGAAAAAAGACCGCTTTCCCATTTGATTTGTTTTCTTTGCGTTGACAAGACGCAAGCCAAATGTGGTGGTGGTGCTTCCCCCTGAAACAGATTTTCATCGAGTGCATAAACAAGCCTTTGCGCCATAAACAAGTCAAGTACAGCTTTTCACACATACTACATTTTTCTCTCTTCCTTTTCCCCTCCCTTATCAAAGTGCGATTCCACGGTGCGGGAGATGAAGAAGGAGCGTGGCAAACGGCGGGCGGAGAGAAAGCGTTTGGAGGCCGGCGATCGTACTCCAAATGAGGGTGAAACCGAATCTCAGCTGCAGCGGAGACCCCGGAAAAGAATGAGGATCTGCTTTGGTCGCAACACCAATACGGCGGCAATCTGTGCGGGATCTGAGGGTGCGGTGGCCAGATCAGTGGCCGCCATAGCCGTGGACTTTGCCAGCTTGGCCATAACCCGCGAGGAGACAGAGTTTAGTACCAGTAACTACGACAACAAAAGCCATGCGGGCACTGAGCTAACCACGGTTTCTAGTGATGCCGAAGATGTAAGTTTGAAGAAAAGTCATTATTGAACCATTATCTCTCTGGGAAATATAATTACAAGGTAGCTTTTAAAGGGAAATATAAATTTAAACTCCCCAAACTTCTTTTAAGCAAAATTCCCTTTAAAACTTCCACTGACCAACACCTCATAGACAATGTCTTCGCACTTTCTCCCCGCTTTGTTTGCCTTGAGATTAACCCCATTGACCCTATGCTCCACTCCCTTTAACCCTTTAGTACCGGACCAGCAACGCAAATGAAATCATCACGCTGTCACAGCAGGTGGCCCATGCCACCCAGCACCATCTGATAGCCTCACATCTGAATGCCATAACGCCACTGGCCCAGTCCATCGCCATGGGCGGTGCCGGCTGCCTGACAACGACTGCGACGGAAGGTGGAGGCTCCGAGGGTGGCGGAATGGAGGGCAGCAGTCCCTCCAGCAAGAATCCAGGAGTGGGCATTGGCGGTGTACTGGCCAGCATTGCCAATCCGCACCAGAAGCTGGCCAAGCGGCGACAACTGCTGGAGGCGAAGCGGGAGAGGAAGGCGGCCCAGACACTGGCCATCATCACCGGCGCCTTCGTCATCTGCTGGCTGCCCTTCTTCGTGATGGCGCTGACAATGAGCCTGTGCAAGGAGTGCGAGATCCACACGGCGGTGGCCTCGCTATTTCTCTGGCTGGGCTACTTCAACTCCACCCTCAATCCGGTATGTAGACCAGACGAGACTTTTGATTATTTCTTTTTCTTTGTCAGTGGTCGCTATTAAAGGTGGATTTTTTGTGAGCACTTGAAATCCATTGAAAGTTAAAATATATTTAATGAGATTTTAAAGGGACTTTAAAATGGGTCTGAAAGTATGCAAGGAAAATAGTAAAAGCTAGAGGAGCTTTGGTGCATTTATTGTAGTCTACTTTTGGGCTCTGTAAAGGATTACGATCTTCTAAATGTTTATTCTTGTAAATATTGTAATTCCCTTAAATATTCCCGTCTCCTTACGCTTTTTCTCTTAATTAATTATCTCCACCAGGTCATCTACACCATCTTCAATCCCGAGTTCCGGCGGGCCTTCAAGAGGATTCTCTTCGGCCGAAAGCATGCGGCTAGAGCCCGCAGTGCAAAAATTTGATTTCAACTAAAGGATAACGAGGACCAGTATCTGTAACCAAGGTCGGCAATATGCTATGGAATTGGCATTGTATTATGTGTAACTAGCAAGTAGAGGCGATGTTTTTAGCAGTGACAATCCTAACTAGCCTGTAACTAACTAACTTGAAGAAAATCCTCAACCACACACACGTGCCCCCCCAAAAACAAAAAACAAAAAAAGACAACAAGTTCGGTTAGCCGAAGATAAAATCAAATATTGTAACCGGAAACCGAAATCGAAACCGAAACCAATCGAGCAAAGTTTTTTAAACGCTTCGTAGCCGATACTCATTAGCCTAAGTTATGTGTACGTGTAGTTTATATAACATAAATATTTCTAAAGTCTTCCCTGTGTCTTAAAGAAATCCAAGAGAAAGAGTAGAAGAACCCTAGAGTCCTAAGTAGGTTGGTGATGGCAGATCGAACAGATATATATATAGATATAGGCTGGGTCCAAAGAACTTCTTACGCTTTCATGCATTCTGTGTTAGTTGAACTTGTGTATGTGTTTTTTTAGTTGTAGTCTTAAGCCAGGCAGTTATGCTCAATTATTTCAATTGAATGTTTAAGTCAATATCAAATTGTAACGAATTTACACCCATAAAAAAAATATGTACAGAGCCCCCATAAAAATTAAGTAGAACTCGAAATTCGCCAGGATGGTAGTAGGCTAAGCTACCCAAATGTCACGGCTAATTAGGCACAACTCTTTTTGGCATTAAAATTCGGAAAACTAAAAGTTCAACTTTTGTTGCCAACACACAAAAAGTTTAAGCCATGATATATGATATATGTTATATGTATATATGCAGCTATATGCCACAGATATGCATTCGTACCTAGCGATATATAGTATACATATAGTACTTATATTTATGGTTCAATTTTTGGAAAAGTTTTCTTGTAAATAAATGGACTTGCTGTTGAAACCGAAACCAGAAACCGACAAAACTACAACAAGAACAAGAGCAACTACTATCTGGGCGATATGGCAATTAAGTCCATGCTGCAGTTGAAACCCAATACGCTTCATACACACATATATATATATATATTTATAAACACAACACATGCACAGATATGTGTGCGTGTCTACGACTATTTTGTGTGTGTTTTGCGTGTGTGTTTATGCAACAACTTCTTGATGTGTACTTGATGTCAAAGTTATTAAAATTGTGTTTTATCAAAAGCGTATGCACTCGATATTTTATTCATGGATCAGAGGGAGTTGCATTTACCGGTTGGTGGTTTTCAGTGGGTGGTGGGTTGGTCTGGTGGTTTTCTGTCTGCTTGAAATTGACAAACTTTTCAGGCCAATGACGACCGCACGCACGTTTGTATGGTATGTATGTAAGCTGCTAAGCCAAATGTCAGCGCATTGAAATGTCAAAGTTCAAGTGCACTCGCACACACCCTCCCTCCCCCCTCACACCCAAGGTAAAGTGGGCGGGGGGGGGCTCGGTGAGATGGATTACGCATTGGCATTATCAACGCCGGAACAGGCAGAAAGCACCGACAAATGGCCCAGAATGAACTGCCTGAACAACACAACACAGGCACAGCACAGAAAAATCGATACATCATGCAGGAGGAGGACGACGACGTCAACGAGGTGGAGAGTCCTGGAGTATTCGTGTAATACATTTTGGTACTTCACATCCCTTTTCCTCGTTTCCCAGCCGAATTTTCCCATTTCCCCCTCCCCCACACTTTTCCCTTGGTGTCTCTTCCTGCAAGTGTAAAGCTTATTAAAAGTAGCTCCTTGCACATGGAAAGTGATAAGTGCCTGCCGATGTCCTGAAGTGTCATCAGTGGCTGAAATAATTTAAATAAAATTAAGGAACAGTGTTTTAATTGCTAAAAAAATTTTATTGATTTTTTAAGCGAGCTTTAAAATAGTTAAGGTTTTTTTAGAAACCTTTAGGGCATGATTTATGAGGTAAGCAAAATTTAAAATATTTCCTTAATAAAAAATATACTAAACATATTTATTTTAGAGGCTACATTGCTCTATTTACTGTACAAAAATAATTTTAAAAATTAAAAACTGTATAATTATATTAACAAATATATAAAAACTATATAAAACCCATAAAAAAAAAAGTACAAGTAGACATCACAGTTTTAAATATTCCACTTAAAATACCAGCAAAAACTTTACATTTTTAATTTAAATTTATAAAAAATAACCAAAAATTATAGAAAATTATATAATTACCTCACCAAATTCCCCTACCAACTAGTAACACAATTATGCGAGGCACTGTAGTATCGCTGCTGAAACTGGCCCACGCCAAAAATAATATTTACCAACACTTTTAATTTCCTGTTGGCCCCAAAGGAAATGCCCCTGCGGGTGGCTGTTCCAGTGTCATAATGAAAATGAAAAAAAAAAAAAGAATTGCAAAATCTGTCTCGAAAATGTGAGAGGAGAAATTTCTGGTTGGCAGCAAAGTTTTTGGGATAATGACAAATTAAATAGCTCAAGACTTGAGCAGTCAGGGCCATGCAAATAATAATAATAAAGCCACTCGACAAAGAACTTTTCAATATTCCTCGTCGTCATCGTGTGGCCCAAATGTGACACATCATCGATATATATCTCCGATATGCCATATATATATACACACACGCACACGTGTGGAGGTGGGTGCCTGCCTGCCTGCCTGACTGCCTTTTGCCTTTATTAGCCTAGTAGCATTATTAATTTCCTCTCTCGCAGCACACAGCAATGGCAATAGCTGCAGGATAATGCCAATAAAATTCGTTTTATTAAAAAATTCTTTTGCCGACAAAAATTCCATAAATCGAATAAATATCGAGTGGCACTCCGGCGCAATCGTTTTGGGGGGGATGGTTTGGTTTTTACGGGGTCCTAAGGAAGAGGGCCCAGTTAATATGGCACATGAGTAGGGCGGCGGCAGGACCTGGAAAATCCTGCTCTGTTTGCTTGGGCATCAATTTTTGAAGTCTCCTTGAGCCGGAAGAGACCAAACTTCGGGGCAGACTGTGGCAATTCAAAAGGTATTAAAAGTATTAAACCAGAAATGAGTGCGGACCGAGTATCTATCGGGTGAGTGTGTGTATTGTATGTGTGTGCTGTGTTTGGGTAACTTTTAATTGAATTGCATTGAGAGAGTGCAAATTGCTTTAAATGATTAAGAGCTTATGGCAGTAGCTTTTCCCCCAACACACACTTATGCCATGTGGGAAGGGTCAACTGAAAATTGTTTAACTAATATGGATAGCTTAGGGAAATAAAATAGTTGAAAAAATGTAAGACAACATTTTTAAAATTTTAATTTACCTCCAAGAAAGTTTTTCCACCTTTTCTCACACATTTCCCAGTCAAATAAATCTCTTAAAAATAAGAAAAAATATATTTCTGCCCACATTTTTCCATCTGATCTTACCAACAAGCGTTTCCTGACCCAAAACCAGATGCCATCGCCATGTTTATAAGCCTGTACGCTATTCATTATACCGCTGCAGGTGAGAGACAGCTCGTAAAAAAGCGTTAACATCGTGAAACGTGCTAAAAATAAGCAGGTGAGTGCGAATACTTACAGCTCCCGGTCTCGGTCTCGGTCCCGGTACTCTGGTACCACAAACACTAACTCATTGCGAAGTTGTTGACACTGCTCTCGGGGTAAGGGGATGGGGAAATGGAGAGAATACCCATTCAATGGACTTGCCCGGAACACAAAAGATGAGTGTCGCCGTCCAACAGTCCACCCAACGCATCCCCATGGAAAACTTGGACTTTGTAAAGACTTTTTGCAAATTGCGGCCAAGTGCACTTTTCGTTTGCCTTCGAATCTGATGCCGCATTGTGGTGCCTGGCCTGGCCTGGGCTGGCCAGGACAGTTGACAGGAGTGGCAACAGGGAGGAGGTTCAGGAGAAGACAGGTTTGCTGTTGTCCTGTCCGCACTAATTACGAAATAATTGAAATCATTAAGCAAAATGAGTGCAGGCAAGTTAAAAGTCGAGTTCCGAAGGGGTAAGTCGCCGTCTAAGGTTTCAGTTAATGAAAGCATCCAAGGTAGCCGCTCAATATTTCAGCGAAATATACTCGAAATGCCAGCAAAAATATAAGAACTCTGTGGAGATTGCCAGAAACAAGGAAACAAGGCACTTTTTGGGTAAATAAACAGGTGAATTTCGGTAGCAGGAACTGCCAGACAAGACAAAAAACTACAACTATAATTAGAAACAATCTTTTGAAAACAAACCTAACACTTGTTTTTACTCTGCCTTAATATTTAAAATTTAAATTATCACTATCTCAACCTCCTTATAGACCTTCCCTTATAGCCAAAGTCGCTTCAAACTTAACTGCAAGTTCGCTATCGTGTCGCTGCAGCTTATTCTTTTGGCCAGCAGCTTTTTGGGCGCTGACAACTAGCGCAAAATGCCAAAAAGGACACGTACGTAATGAACACAAACACGTACGAGAGGAGCAGCGACAACGCTTCCAAAGATAGGGAACCTGGCTTAAAGTTTTCAGCTGTGGCAAAGTTGCACTTGCTGAGGAGCATCCGAGGAGGAGCAGCCCTTGGCCAGGCACGAACGGCGGAAGACAAAGAAAAAAATACAAAAAAAAACGAAGTGAACTGGAAACTTGGCTGGCTAAAAGTTTTTGCTGCTGCCCGAAGGGCGTCCAGGCGTTGGGATCTTGGCTTAGGGTCTGCAAGTGGGTTTTTTGGTAGCTGGCTTAGATTGGGATGCAGGAGGGTCTCTTCTGGTCGAAGCGAAGGATGTGCAGCCGGCGTGACGTTCAACGCACAGCGGAAGTTGCCTGTCGACTGTTGCATTTTTTGGAAAAACGAGATAGGAAGTGGTAGATGGAAATGGGAGATGGATCTGGCAGATGGGAGATGGAAGCTGGGAGCTTGAAGATGAGAGCTGGAAGCTGGTTATGGCCAACTGGGAGCTGCCAGATGCACTGGAAATTTATATGGTCAAGACAGAGCTGGCTCGAAGTACCAAAGTGATAGAACAGATGCAGATTTTAAACTATTTTTCCTTCACTTAACATAGCTTTTATTAAGCCTTTAAAAATTATAAAATTTATCTTTAAACAAAGCCTTTCTTCCTGTGTACATTTCTTACAAAACTCTATGCGTTTAGTTTGCTGTTGTTGCCATTGTTGGTTGTTCGTCCCCGTCTTGTTGCCAGTTACAAGTGCCGTTTGCTTAATTTTTATGCACTTGCCATAGCTGTTGCTGAGAATGTGTTTGTGTGTATCCAGAGAGTGTGTGTTTGTGTAGCTCAGTTATTGCTCTTGTTGGTTTTCTGCATATTTACTTGGCGTAGAGGAAGGAGGACCCTTGCGTAAACGAGGCAAGGAGGCGCTCCTTGGCCGCCAAGTTGCGCTTAGCTCGCACTTGCCGAAGGATAAACTTTTCACGGCCTTGGCTAAGTTCAGACACTGACATTGTGACTTCCGTGCCAGCCTGCCAGCCTGCCAGCCTTCCAGTCGCGATAAATGAAGCCGAAATTGAAATTTAATGTAGCATCATCATCAGCAAACCGTTTGCATGCGAGTCTATGTATTCTATATGCAGACAGCTGTTGGGATTTATTGCAGTTTACCCAGCAGCTTTATGCAATCTGATTTTGGTATTAACAGAGGTAGCTACTCATGG